ATGTTAAATCAATCATGAAAACAAACATCATTTGTAAACAATATACATTATTTTACATATAGACTAAACTTGTTATTTTAACGAGCAAATTATAAAGTACTTATTTCTAACTAATTATATATTTAAGGTATTTATTTATAATTTAGTATTTATTGTATGTATCATATCAAAATAGATATTAAATTGAATATTTAAAATATTTATACATATTAAAAATATTTATATTGTCTATTAAATTCAGATATTTCGGGTGATCCGTTCGGGTTCAGTAAATAACATTTCGGATTCGAAATTTTTTTGTACCATCCTAGAAGACCCGTTTGGATATTTTTACATTTCAGGTCGGATAACGGATCCGATTTTTTGGTTCGGTCTGGTTCGGATTTTGGGTTCGGGATTTTATGCCCAGGTAGTACCCCTATATACAAGTAATTTGGGCCTAAATCAATGTTTATAATCTTCAACTCCTCATAAGAAACTATGATGTACATTTGCTTTATTCTGAAGGCATCGTTGATTAAAAGACTTAGACATCCAAGTGTCCTACTGCTTATGGGAGCTGTGACATATCTTCAGCGTCTCTGTGTAGTCCCTTTCATGGTTTGGTCTTATCTCTTCGGCTAATTCTATTTCTACACTTCCTTTTATGTTTTTTTTTTCTTTTTGAACTTGGGACCAAAATGTTGATTCAATCTATTAAAACAATATTATGCTGTGGAAGTCTATTCCGTTTGCTGCTGAGCAACATATCAGAATTGGACTCGAGGCGACGTATCCATATGGCATGGGACATTGTGAGTATATTATTTAAACACGTGATGTTCTAGATAATTGGTAGTTAGTTCACATTTTATTGGATGATGCCTAGAGTCAGAACCCGTAATAAAACCTCAAATATCCGTTACACGACCTAAAAATATGTATCACAAGGTAAACAGTCCTCTAGTTGAAACAATATCTAATCGTGTATGCTGTAGTTGAAATCTGAATCCGTATGAAAGAATAAATGGTGACGTAAGAAGATAAAATATTCGTGGTAATGCATTATATTATAATTGACCAAGAAACAAGATTTTTTGGCGATGGAAAAGGATTAAGATGCCTTCTTACTACAAATAGCATCCACTGCTTATGCTATTTCTGGCACATTTTCAGTTTTTCATCAAAAGAAAAGAAATCAACTTCAGGAGAGCCTTTTTTAACTTTAACTTTGCTGTCGGTGATGTCATCCACTACGCACTTCTTCCCTCAGAATCCAAGAATTTACTTTTTCCATTTAATGTTTGTATTCGTAACCCGACTCTCTTAATGTTTCAATCGATTCTTGACAAGAGAGTGTGAGAGAAATTTGACCAACTCGATTGCAAGTCAACCAAGTGAAGGGTTGTAACTGTACTTGTTAATTTATCGTCTTTAACTTTGGCGACGTCGTTTTGGAACATGTCGTATTGTTTGTTCAATTTTCAAAACAGGCTTTTTTTTTTGCTAATAACCATTTTCAGTGTTTCTTAATCACTATTTCCCACACATGTATTTATCTTATAGTTCAAAGTCGAATCTGCAATTTTATCTTATCGTGTTTTTTCTTATTTATTTATTTATCATATTTGTTTATTTTTGTCAAAATTTATCATCTTTGATTCTGTATTTCATTATTTTTGTCAATCTGTTTTTGTTATTTTAAAAAAAAAATCAATCATGATATTGTACTGATTATATATGCTATAAGACGTAACAATTCAACAACAACAAAAACAACATTTAACGTAATACTTTATTAATGATAACTGTAAAAAATTCAATAAACTAAATAAGATCATGTTTTCAAACAACTAAATATTTTTTTTATAAACTCAAACAACTAAATATCAACATTATTTTAATAATATATGATATTTGAAAAGGAATAAACTAATAAAATTCTTAAAATGATTTTACAAAGATAATAAATTCCTGAAATGGCTATAACTAGTTTCTAGGGATAAATTAATCAAATCTTGTAAAATAATTTATTTTATATAAAATAAATTCGTGGTGAATGGGATTGATGAGAACATAGATATATGATAATAACATGAAGCCACTATCTGGAATAATCAATTCGTATTCTGGTTTAAGAATGACACGGTTGGTTTAATTAGAATCAAAATCTCAAGTTTCAAGTTGTGTCGCTGGATGGTGCAAATGTGTTTGCCGAGCGAGATGAGCAGAGAGAGAGAACAGGGGCATGTGTTGTGTTTCAAACACTCTGTCTGAAATTATTTTTTGTTCTAGCTGATGTGAAGAATTAGATAAATTTATCGAAATCCAAGTAATATTTATTGATTGAAGCAACTACAATGGTGATCAGTCATTTGAATTTGGTTGTTTCTATCTGATTTCAAAGAAAGAAAAAAATCGTTTCTTTTGACACTTCCATTTTGATTATTCTTCTTTCTAACCAATTGTCAACATACTTTCTTTTTTCTTTTTGTAACTCAGTTGTCAAAATACTTCATCCCTTGTTTTTCTTCTTCTCATTTTGGAGTATTTGTTAACTGACAGGAAATATCAGAAAATAGTTAATATTTTTTATAAAAAAAATTAAAAGCCATGAAAATAGTCTTTTCCATGTAAGACAGCAAAAATTTAAAACAAAGTGTATTTTTAAAATTAAAATCATAAATAGGATATTTTCTAAAAATAATGGGAGTATATTGAACTATTTAATGTTTTGACATGAAATTTTTAAAAAGTTGTTGGGGCAGATGCCCCTCTCACAGAAAGAGCCAGTGATCAGCACATCATATAGGTTATTATTTGATCTGAGTATTGGATAGTCAACTAACAAATACTCATATCATAACAGAAATATAACATATATGAAAACATTACATATCACGTATTTGCGAAAGATAAATATCATCCCACGCCATCAGATGATAGTCAAGGTTTATGAGAATAAATAAAGTGGGGAAATTATCAAAAATAACACTTTCAAGATATCACTTTTCAATTTTACACTAACCAACTTTACCATTAAAATTTTAATACTCAAAATACTATTAGAATTTAGGGTTTAGGTTTGATAGTTTAGGGTTTAATGTTGATTTTTTAGGGTTTAGGGTTTACTTTTTAGGGTTTAGAGTTTAGGGTTTAAGGTTTAGAATTAATATTTTAGGGTTTAGGGTTGATTTTTAGGGTTTAGGGTTTACTTTTTAGGGTCTAGAGTTTAGAATTAATGTTATAGGGTTTAGGGTTAATATTTTATTTAATATTTATTTTATGTATATATATAAAGAATAAGGATATATAAGTATTTTATCCTTTAATTAAATGTGTATTTTTGAAAATGTTCCTTTGTTGATGGTAAACATGAAAAGTGGTACCACCAAAGTGGTATAATTGAAATTCTCCCAATAAAGTGTCCTGTGCTATTTGAGTCAAGACAAAAAAAATGCAAATCATGTTTGAGGTCATAAAAATATTTATCATATATTCGAGAATTACTTGGTTTGCATGTAGAATTTTAAGATTTTGCTTGGTTTGCATGTAGACTTACTCGGATATTAGATTACTTGGTTTGCATGTAGAATTACTCGGATATTAGATTAAAAGAATAACTATCTTAAAGAATCGACATTTGTTTTCCATAAAGAACTTTTGCCGTGATTTATGAATGCTTTTTCAAAAAAAAAAAAAAAACAATATACGCTTCTCAATGGTCACGAGACTTTTAAAGAGTTGCCGACAGAGTTTTTCTTCTTTTTAACAAAAATGAATTCTTCTCTTCGAAGATAGTGCTACGTGTGGCCCATGTGGCACAAAAGGAGAGTGTACTTGGACCGCTTGTCAAAAGGAGGATACTGATTTCTGTGGTCAAAAGGTTTAGTGCTGCTTGTGCTTGTGGTCGCACAGTGCACGTTTGTCAAGTCTATTGCATGTGGTCCACTTGTCAAGCGACTATTAATTTTCGTTATAAATAAAGAAGAGTCTAATTGTATATTCTAAACCAAGTTAGTTGATTTATTACTTTATATTTTTACAGACATTAATACTATTATATATTTTTGCTTAATATGTTAATTATTATAATAATGAGATAGATTTTTCCTTCAACATAAGAAGGTGAGAATATTACCATTTCTATAAGATAGAAATAGAGACTATTACTGTTGTAAAAGGAGAAAGAGATTTTTAATAATTAGTGAATAAATATCACAGAAAATTAAGTGAGCCTTGGTAACCGTTTATTTATTCCGATAAGTGAATTATTTTAGTCACTTCGGGTGTTTCGGAAACCTTTTGGTAACCGTTTATTTATTCCAATAAATTGTGCGTGAATTGCTCTTCACCTAACCATTCAGTTGTTTGAAATTTTCTCTATTAATTTTGAAATTAGTGCTACTTTGTGGTCAGACAATCCACGTCTACAGTTATATTGCATGTGGTCCGCTTGTCAGAGACTATTAATTTCGGTATAAAGTAAGAGAAGAGTATAGAGCATATCTGTATTCTTTTTATGTAACTGTATATTTGTATATTCTAAACAAAGTTAGTTGGTTTAACACTTTATAATTTTACAGAAACTAAATCTATTATATATATTTTGGTTAACAGGTTAATTGTTATATATATAACGAGATAGATTTTCCCTTCAACATTGAAGGTGAGAAAATTACGGAAGATAGAAATAGAGGGTATTACTTTTGTAAAAGGAGAAAAAGTTTATAATCACAGAAAATTAAATGTGATAGATTTTTCCTTCAAGATAAGAATGTGAGAATATTACGATTTCTATAAGATAGAAATAGAGAATATTACTTTTGTAAAAGTAGAAAGAGATTTTAAATAATTAGTGAATAAATATCACAGAAAATTAAGTGAGCCTTGAATTAGTGACAGCTGGAGAATTAACCTTGATTGTTAAACAGTATAATTGCACCTTGACCTAATCCGTCACCTGTGTATATAAAACGTCCACTTCCTCCTCATTTTGTTCACTCTTCATTCTCTCTCTCTCTCTCTCTCTCTCTCTCTCTCTTATTACTAATTTACAAAGCCTTCATAATCATATATTTTTTCTTTCTTTCTTATTGGTCTACTTCTTGGTGTTTAATCTTTGCCTGAACCGATCATGTTTTATCGAGTCTGTTCTTATGTTTATTCCTTTTTCTCATTTCTTTTGTATGCTTTGAATTGTGTCTTCAATCTGTTTTATTTGATTTTCCATGGCAAATCTCAGATCCGGGTACGGGATATTGGTCTGTATATAATTGTGGCCATTATTCCCGGATCCGATGACCCGAAAGTTATCCTGCTTAAGCTTATAGACTGCCATGATTGCTAGGTCTAAGCTTATAACACACCAATATAGTCAAAAGGGATAAATCTAAGATTTGTCTAGGTCAACGAAGTTTATGTTTTTCAAAACACTTTTGCTTCATTCTTATGTATATACTTGTACTTATCCTTGTTTTTGTGTGTTGAAGATTGGAATATTTATCTATTGGCTAGACTTTTGAGATATATAAGCTAAATTGAAATTCAATTGTTCACTTCTGTGTAGATAGAATGATTTCAATCTTGTTTTAATTTGATTATGTATATGTTTATATACTAATTTTAACCTTAATTGAATGGGAAATACAAAATTTTATTTGGATCAAACCTTCTCCCATATAATTCGATTCATATTGTCAAACCGAAACAAGAAAATTACCATTTGTATTTGATTTGGTGCTTTATGTTTGTAGCTAAGTTTACTAAACATTGGGCTTTTCTAAGGCCTCAACAATGTGAGTGTGAGTTAGATGTGAGCCTTTTTTTAACCGGTTTTTGAAGGGTTAAAATGTTCACAAGTAGATATTTCTGACGCGGTTCGTCTCAGTTTACTTTACTCTTTCTCTACTCCAGTTTTTCTTCGATCTTCATTGGCACGATCGTCGCTGATTGGTATGGTTTCTAAAATTTGTGCTACTCTCGTTAAGATGATAAGCTAATTTTCATTCTTAGTTTACAGTGTGTAAGAACTGAACGATTCTGTTTTTAACCTAGATTTTGTCCTCTGTTTATTCTTATTTTAGATCATACCGATTTTCATTGTCGTTAATCTATTCTCGTTAAGATGATAAGCTAAGTTTTATTCTTCGTTCACGGATCGATTCCGTCTTTAACGTAGATTTTGTCCTCTCTTGATTGTCGCAGAACATGGAGTGTAAAGTTGAAACTCCACCTGAAAGCCAAAAGTTTTACACATCCGTTGTCCTAAACAATGGACTGAAGGCAATCTTGATAAATGACCCAGATGCGACGGAATCTGCAGCGGCAATGATGGTTCGAGTTGGGAGCTCCTTTGATCCTCCAGATGCTCAAGGGTTAGCTCATCTCCTAGAGCACATGGTCTTCAAAGGAACCACCTCTTACCGTGGCACAAACGAGGTAGGTACTTGCTTGATTCGTTTGTTAACTACATATTTGCTTATAACAACAGTTTAAATTTCCTACAGTTGCGGGACTATCTAAGTCAGTATGGTGGAGAGGCCAACGCATTTACAGAGTTTGATTTTATGGTGTTTCACTTTAACGTTAGCAATGTTGGCCTCAATGGAGGTCTTAAAAGGTTTGTGTCTTATTTGCTTGTTGCAATTTTTTTTCCCATTTTAAAATGCTGAGCAAACTACTTGTCAGGTTTTCTGACATGTTCATATCGCCTCTGTTTAACCGAGAGTGTTTGGAAAGCGAGATTTCAGCTATTGACTACGGTAAATACCATTTATATAATCTTGCATCATTATTTTTGAGTATATTCAAATGTCTTGGTTTGGAAAAAAAATGCAGAGTTTGAAGCTGCACGTCAAACTAACAAAAATAGGATTGATCAGCTTAGAGGTCATACTGCCCCAGCAGATCATCCTTTCAATAGATTTACTTGGGGTAGATCATTACTCTTTTCTCCTTTTTTTTATTTATATGATGTTGACCGCTTAGCTTATCTTCTTTTAAGGTAATCGAGAGTCACTTTCCGAGGTCAAGAAGAAGAAACTCATTAAGCTTCTTAGAAAACTTTTCGATGAATCCTTTGTTGGTTCTTCTATGAACCTTGTTATTCTCGGAAAAAGTAATTCTCACTTTTTTTTTTTTCTATATTTTTCCTTCCTTCTTTTATTTAGGGTCAAGTATTTATCAGTTTATATGTTCTTTCAATGCAGAACCTCTTGATGTCTTAAAAAATTGGGTGATATCTTATTTTGGTCCTATTAAAAAACAAGTGCCAGGGCCAGAATCCAGCTCTTCTCACATTGCTACATCTACTCCTATTTGGAAAGAGCACACATTGTTTTTTTCAAAGTCAGTTGAAGATAATCATCTGCTTGAAGTTTCTTGGACCATTCCTTCGCCACAATACGGGAAGATACCTGAACAGTTTCTTGTCATCGCACTTGGTCATAGTAAGTCTGTCTTTTTAACTGTCTTTTTAACTGTTTGTTGTTTGGTTTGTAACTCTCTATTTTGTTCTTCAGAAGGGGAAGGATCTTTGTACTCTATGTTGAGAGAGAAACTCTGGTTGGTTACTCTACATGTATCTTCTGGTGACTATAAAGTCGATGATGAAGATGACGATAAGGAATCTGAAGGTACGTACGCATGTACCTCCGTGGGTCGTCTGTTTTCACTCTCTCTCGAGCTTACCAACCTTGGTAGTTTTAAGGTATGTTTTCTTATATTATTATTAATTCAAAACCTATTTGTCTTTTAATATTTTCAATAAATTGACAGGTGTTTGATATTGTCGGTCATAAACTTAATATTTTCAATAAATTGACAGGTGTTTGATATTGTCGGTCATGTTTATGAATATCTCCAATTTGTGAGACAAAACGACGCACCTTGGATTATGGAAGAATTCTTCAAGATCAAGAACATGGAATTTTGTTTCTTTGATACCTCTGACCTAGGTTCAGATGCTTCTGCTCTAACCAAAAAAATTGCAGGTAAATTGCAACTTCTCATAAGTTCTTTACTTTTACTATAATCAACTTAGCTAACATCGTTTTCTTTTTTGCAGTTAATATGCTTTATGTTCCCCTCAAAGATGCTGTCTGTTCTGATTTTCTCAATCAGAGCTGCAATAGGGACTCTATTGATGAGCTGCTAAAATGTTTTGATCCAAGAAACATGAGATTAGATTTCGTATCAATGTCTGATGAAGGACAAGGTATGTTTATGTTTTTTTTTATTAGTTTTCAGATCGAAACAAGCTTTTTCTAAAGAAGATTCCATCTCAACAAGTTAATAATTTTGCAATTCTTACATTTTTTTCTACATACAATTCATAGTTTTATGGTATTAACTAATCTTGACATTTTTTTTTGCAGATCTGCTTGAACCTAGATTCCACACTTTCTACAAAGAAGTTCAAATCCCATCAGATGTTATTGAAAAATGGCTGAACCCAATCACTGAAGATTATTTCCAGTTCCCACCTCGAAACCGTTTTTTGCCCACAATACCTTCTTATGATGATGATGAGGGGGCTGATGATGATGAGGGGGATGAGGAGGCTGATGATGATGATGAATTCATGGATGGTGCTGATCATGATGAGGAGGCTGATGATGAGGGGGATGAGGAGGCTGATGATGATGAGGAGGCTGCTGCTGATGATGTCATGGATGATGCTGATGAAGAAGTTGAGTCATGTCTTCTTGTTGATGAGCGTTCCATTAAGCTGTGGCATACACTTGAGGACAGTGTTCCAACGTTCGTTTTTTCTGTCGGTTTCAAGATTGAAGATGATTTGAAGAGTCAGATTTTGGCCCAAATCTTTTTACAGCTTCTGAAAGATTCCCTTGAATCTATCTTATCTGAGGTAAGTTTCAATTTGTTTTCTCATTTCTTTATATGAAATGTATTGGTTAAGAAACTTAATTTTAAATGTGCAGGGAAAGAGAGCTAATTTGTCTACCACGATAAAATTTTTAGATACAAACAAGATAGAGATCAAGACTAGCGGTTTCAAAGACAGTTTCCATCTCTACATCTCATCCATTTGGAATGTTCTTAAATCTTGTTCTCCATCTGCTCATAGTTTTGAGGTATAATCTCTATGAATGTCTTTTTGCAAATTTATTTCTGACACTAATCTAATTTTTTAACAATGTTAATTTTGATGTGTATCTTTTTTTAGACTGACAAGGAGATACTTACCTTTGTTTTGAAAAACAACATTATTGAGCTGCTTGACCATTCCAAAGCTTTGTTTCAAGGAATGGTCTCCAGATCCTTTCATTCAGTTGAAAGGATGTTGGATGCGCTTAAGCTGCTTAGCTTTGAGGATGTTAAGCAGTTCGTCTCAGATTTGCGGTCTCAGGTAAACAATTGATAACAGTAACTCAAGTTTCTAATCAAAATTTATTAGTTTCTAATCAAAATTTATTTTTATTTCCCAGATGTTTATTCAAGGTCTTTTTTCTGGGAATATTTCAAAAGAAGAATCTCTTACCATATCGGAACTCTTTAAGAGTCAAGAAATAACTCCTCTTCAAGAAGATTTTCGAGATGATCTCAGAGAACATGTCCCTCGTCCTTCTGAACCTTCTGATAATTCTATTGATGACTTTGTCAAAATAAAGACAGATATCAACTCTCTTGCTACGGTATAGTTTCAGACTTTTATTACTTCTTTGATTCCAGACTTCTATTATTTCTTTGATATTACATTACAATATCATGTTTCTTGTTTGGATATAGGTCTGTTTTCAGTTTGGAACAGAACGTGGTAATGCTAGAGATACAGCACTCCTACATCTCTTTCATTCATTGATAGAGGAGAACATAGTCTACAAGCTAAAGTATGTGCTTGGTTTTCTTTTTCACGTAACAAAAAAATAAGTATTTTTATTTAGTTCTAATTAACTTTCTTTCTCAAGAGTGGAGAACAATCTCGGATATGAAGTTTCGAGTGAACTTGATATGAAGGATGGAATCCTGATTTTGACTATAAGTGTCATCTCTTCAGTGCACAACCCAGATTTTCTAGAAGAGAAAATCCGAGAATATGTTAAGGGCTTGCAGGAATTCTTAGTAAGTTTTAGTTTGAAATATATAACTTGTTATATATATTTATTAATTGTCTTACTTTGTAATATGTAGAAATCTGTAAAAGCGAGTGTGTTTAAAAACCACAAAAAGGCGGTACGTGGGAATTTTCCAGATGGTGGAGGTGAAAATATGTGGGCTCAGATTAGTGAAAAAAGGTATTAGTTTTGGTGTTTGAAGTTTACTTTTATGTTTGTGACAATAATGCATGGATTGTTGGTTTACAGGATGTTCCCTGATTTCAACAAGAGAGTTAGGAGTAATCTGAAAGAGATTGATAAGAAGGATGTCTTAAAGTTCTACAAGAAGTACCTGATCAAAACTTCTCATGAGACCCGTATCCTTTCCATAAGGATATGGGGGTGCAACTGTTTTGCTGCCTAGTTATGTTGACTTCTTTAGGATGTTGGACTGCTTTGGTAGATTTCCAAGTTAATTGACTTCTACTATTCATGTTGATGCATTTTGTTGTGACAGACTGCCTTGTTATTTGACTTCTTCGGGATGTTGCAATTGCTTTGTTAAGTGGCATCCTTATTATCACTTTCTTTGTAACCTTGTCAAGGTAGAGTGTTTAGATACATAAGCTTTGCTCGCTCTCGTTTTATTCTTCTTAATCTTCAACATCGTTTTTTTCTCTGGAAGAGATGATTATATATACAGCTGAGATTAACCGAACACTTTTTTCACCAGCTACAGTTACATAAGGTTCGTATAAAATACTTATCTCTTGTTCCACTAAAAATTTATTGATTTTCTATCATACTTTTGTTTTAACAAAGAAAAAAAACATATTTTTAGTGTAAGGATTCACACCTGCATAATCTTGTTTAAAAGATATTCACACCTGCACTTCAATCCATATAGTTCCCTTAATCCTGAGTCCTTCCAAGTAATAAGTATCCGTCATCATGTCGTTGGTAACATCTGATGGAGATTACGTACAAATGCTGTCAGTGAATGACAATTGACAGGACATGCATGTCTCTAATGGAATTTTGAGTTGTTTCATTTTACTTATGACACGGTTTGAGATTATTAGCTTAGGTACAAAAATAATGTTATTTGGTCTAAAGCAATTCCATTGTGTCGGAACTGAGAAGTTGAATGAGAAAACATAAAGCCAAAAAAATGTCAGGAGTGACTATGATTTTTAATTGCACAAGTAGAAAATAGTATTACTATGGCTCTGTTTTCATCGTTAACATACCATTACCGTGTCATATGATATCTAATAGGTTGCTGACTATGGTCTTTCCCGTATCAAGCTTGAGACATGCCTTACTACGAAGACATGAAGAGGAACGGTATTCAACATAGACCTCTTATCGAACTGATTCTTCTTTTTCTTGCGAAGCTGAAGCTGCTGGTGAAAAGTATATTGTCATTTTGTGTTCTTTTGCTCATTAGTTTCTCTAACGATGCTTCTTTCTCTTTTAAACTCAGGTCTGACGTTTACAGCTTTGGGTAGTACTATGGGAGCTTGTGATTCCGCGGGAAAATTTAAATGCTATGCAGGTATAACTTCCCCATTTATGAAGAAAAAGGTCTAGCGCACTGTTTCCGAAATGACAGTGAGACTAGAAGATCTATACATTTGGTCATATCTTAAAGCTATATATTTGGCCATATCATAACGTATATAGTCCGCATACAGAGATGCTCTTATGGAACCGCGGCTGGCATAGTTATGTTACATCTGTGAGAGTTTTGGTTTAGTACCAAGTGCGTTAAGCTTTCATTTCAGTCTGGATTTGAGATAAAACCGCAGACAGGACAGAGTGTCTTACTTTGGAGGAATTTTAGAAAATTGTTTTCCATGTGAAATACTTCACTAAAAGCAGTTTAGCAATTCAATTCAAGTTTGTTGGCAATATATATTTATTATCGCAAAACTGAGATTGCTAATAGCGAGACGATTGTATATATAACAAAAGAAACTTCTGGACATCCCAAATACATAATAATCATGACAAAAGATTTCTCAAAATCAAACATAACATAAGTTTTAATTTATTTCAAGTCATGAGATAATGCATCGCAATAAGTTACATAACATTGGAAAAGGACTTAATGAGTGGGATTAGGGTTTGTGGTTGATCATGGCGAGCTTCTTCCACTTCTTCTTGCTTAGTTATGCTGTCGTCAAACCCAAAACAAAACATCCCAAGCATATATGAGCAACCAAACAATTAACCATCCGAATAGCTACTTCATATTATATACACACACATTCGAGAGAGAGAGAGACAGTACCTTGATGATGGAGACTCAGGCATGGTGGTAGTAGCAGCAAGCTTTGCCGCAGCAAGCCTTTCCAGAAACAATTTCTGTAAATTTGAGAATGAAATCAATAAAGAGGGTATTTACTACTATAATTATAAAGATATATAAAATGCAAATTAACCACTGTAAAATGTTGAGAATGAACAGAGCGCCGACTCCGAATCCGTCTCTTAGATTTAGGCCTGCGTGTATGGAAGGGTCCACAGGAACGCCGTCTTGCTTTCGCTATTGAGTTTCGTCCCATATCTTTTTTTTTTTACGCTGCTTAAACTCCCGAAGCCCTAGCTACGTCTATGTATATATATATATATTAGTAATTTGGGCCTAAAGCAATGTTTTTGATCTTCAAGTCCTCATCCGGCCCATTCTGTTATCTTTATCAGTGAGAAGAGGGGAAAAAGACCTATTCCTACCCAAACAATTTCAATCGTGCCAAATAAACCCGAACAAACATTCAGTGCCAAATACGACCTGAACTATGTTATAATTCACAAATACTACCTGAATTTTTTAAAACGTGCCTAAACCTACATTGACCGTAACAGAAGTTAGTCAACCGTTAAAATGATAAAACGACGTCGGGAAAAGGGCCTATTCCTACCCAAACAGTTTCAATCGTGCCAAATACAACCCGAACAAACATCTAGTGCCAAATACGACCTGAACTACATTATAATTCAAAAATACTATCTGAACTTTTTAAAACGTGTCTAAACCTACATTGATCGTAATAGAAGTTAGTCAACTGTTAAAATGATAAAACGATGTCGTTTCGATTTCATTATTTTTTTAAAAATATGAACATTCCGGGATTCGAACTCGGGCCTTGCCACTATTTAAAACAGACATATCAACCACTAGACTAAAGCAATTTTTTTACTTTTTCATCTTCTCTAATTAAAACTTTGCTTATTATTATTTTTGATTCTTATCAATATATTAACATATTTGATAAACTTATAAATACTAAAATATAAAAAATTAAATATTTATAATTATAAAAAATTAAATATATTCATGTTTTGAAACTATTTACAAAATGTCCATATATAAATTATTTTAAAATTTTAAAACTTGAAAGTTAATTTCTTTTGTTTCTTAAAATTAATATAAGCTGAATATACTTTACCAAAATAAAATAAATTACCATTAAGTTTTATTTTTAAAATAATTTATATATGGACATTTTGTAAATAGTTGAAAAACATGAAATATATTTAATTTTGTATGATTATAAATATTTTATTATTTATATTTTAGTATAATATAAGTTTATTGAAG